GGCCAACATCCTAGGCTGCATACCTGGTATGCTGAGGTATAATCAAGCATTGGGTACGGTTTTACGTGTGAAAGCAATGCTTGACTGGATTTAAATGGTTTTGACTGGAGTCGATATGATGCATAGTTGGACATAATGTTCATAATTGCCTATTTTTCTTGGCAAACAACAAGGTGCTTGATGACTGCTTTCTGAAATGTTCACATCTATTTCTTTGTGAAGTGTACCACAATTTAACAGCAATTCTAAACAAGCTTGTGTTGTAGCCCTCTGAGAGAATGCATTCCTTATTGGCTTAATTTCCTCATTATAGCAGAACTGCATATCTGCTATGTCAATGGGGAATCTGGTTTGAATGACAATTCCCGCAAACACCTTTGCTCTTTCTATTGTACTCTTCTTTTTCCTGCACACGTCCCAATAATCATCAGCAAAATTCAGCCAAATCTGTGAGCAGTCTCACATGTGTTCCTCAGACAGACTATTTTATCTTTTTTCATTAGTGTTTGACACAATCCAGAAGAGGTGTTTAGAGATAGGCATCACAGAGCTATAATGACTCCAGCCAACTTGACATAAACGTGCACATACACACATTTTTACTCCCCAAGACATAGCTCTGCCTCAGAAAGGCATATGTTCACTACCTTACTTGCAAAATGTCTTCCTGGGTTTAATGCATGAAAATGTTCCAGACAGGAATTAACAGGAGAACAGCCCTAGTCCTCTTCAAGCAAGACTCCTAGCATTGCCATAACCCTAAAGAAGCACTTAGAGGCCCTTTACAAATGTTGAGACATTCAGGAAGTCTTGCCTGTTCTATTTTATTTTGGGTTTCCTCCAGAATGATCTGAGGTCTTTATTGTGTTTATCCACATTTGTTTCCTGGGATATATCTCACAATGCTCTGATGATTCCTCAGTCATATAAATCTGCCACCTGTAAGACTGTACAGTGACTGCAATCGGGATACATGCTCAGGTTTTTTTTCCCAGTTCTCTCTGATAGCAACTGACAGCAATATTTCCTCAATCTCTCTTTTAGAAGCATTCTATTTAACTTACATGGATGTCCTTACTCCATGCCAGCCTACTTTCTTGATACCTTGCTCCAACTTCTTCTCCCAGGACTGAAAAAACAGCTTAGCAATTGCCCCACCCAAATCAGTACAGTTCACACATTTTCCCCTGAGTTTGGACAAACCACAGGTGTTTCCAGAAGAGATAGAACGTTGAGTTGGCTTGTGCATACAGTTGTCTCAGTCAATCTTTGATGTAAATACAAGAGACCTAATTGACACAGATGGCAGAAAGGCTTCAACACCAGAAGAGATTGCTCATGTGCAAAGTCACTTGAAGAGGTGGAAAAGTTCCATACAAGATTTGGTGGGATCTTGGCACTGTTACCTATCTATTATGCTTCTCATAATACGTGGGCAGAAACTCAACCCCTCTCCCCATCTTCATAACTTAACAGTTGCCACTTCCAGGGCAGTGTGGCAGAGAGATTTGATAATTCTCTCATGTTTTATATGAGAGAGGTTATTTGGACAGCTGACATGTAAGACTGCCCCTTGAGCAGCAATAAAGAACATACCCATCTAGAAAACCAAATCTCTTGCCTTATGATAGAGCATGAGCAGTCACACAGTCCCTCCCTTAGAGAGCCAATCAGTCTGAGCATCAGAGGAAGAAAATGGTTCCTCAAAAACAAAGAAGTCATTAAAGTCCTAGTGCTCTAATGTAAAAACCTCCTGAAGACTGCCTTAATGAAGAGGAACAAAGCAGGTTGTGAATTTACATCATAAAAAGCCTCAGTTTAAAATGTTGGAGGAGACACCATTAGGCTCCTGAAAAGATGGCAGTCAAAAGCAGAGTTTTTCCTGGACCATCAACTGCCCATGAAGAGCCAGGAGGCATGGCTGGCTGGGGTGGGTGAGCCATAGATTGAGCGTCCTTCTGTGTTTCCCAACAAACTTACTTCCACACAGCCAAAAATAATGAGCTAGCAGATGGAAATGTTTTTTCATCTCCACAGTATTCCTCTTTTTAGGCCAACTGTAGAGCAAGAGGAAAGTCCCTGTTGTGAGGGAGGAACTGTTTCTTCACCTAGCTGTGTGCTGGTGCCCCAGACATCATCCAGAATATTTAAAGCATGTGTTTTGCTTTGATAGAGTTACTGCATTTGTGATACATTCTCCAATAGAGCTGGAGATAAGGAAAGAGTTCCTAAAACCACCTAGTAATGTAATTTCTAATCATATAGACAGAGAAACTTCATGAAACTTACTTATGGTAAAGCTGAAATTCAGACTCTAATCTAATATTCTGCAAATTTACCTTTAAAAGACACAGACTTCACAGTCCACTGAGACCACTCCACTCCAGTAGACTCTACAAGCAATAACAGACATTCCCTCACTCATTTGGCAGATTTTTAGTGTGAGAGAAAAGAATATGGAGCATGCTGGTTCTCTTTGAGTTTTGTAAGGCTCAGGATTTGCTGATGATTTAAAACCTGCCTTCTTAAAGAGGACTAAGAGGCTATGCAGATACACTTGTTCCAGTCTGATAAAGACAGTTGCAAATCACATGGTTCTAAGCTAAATAAGAGTGTCTGCATGAGTTTAGCATTGATTCAAGTGAATTAGTTTACTGAAAAGGTAAAGATTTGCATAAAGATGGAGTTTCACCTTTCCTGCTCCCAAACAGCTGTGCTTAGTTCTGCTTTATGTGAAAAGGGCAAAGAAGGAGAAGGGGAGAAATATCTTTGAGATAATCTCACTGGAAAGAGAGAAAACTAATGCATGCTCTTCCTATTTCAGCTACTCTCCACCCCAGGAGTAATAGTTTGAAGTGAGTTTTCATATAAACAATAAACAAGTTATTCCTGGAGAATTTGCTTTGAGCTAGGACTGTGTGTAAGGGATTGGCTTTGTAAGTGCTGTCAAAGTATCTACCTTTCAAAATTAGACTTTGTATCTCAGGTTCATTAAGATAGCCTTGAGCAAGAGTCTTTTATTCAACCTTTCTTTAAAAGTATGAAGTGTAAATTTGATGAGTAAAAATAACTTGAGTGAGGAATGTCTAAAAAAATGGAGGAATTAACCACAGTGATATTTATGCAGCCTAGGAATGGATTTCAGTATACTTCTTTAGCGCCTTTCTTCCTGTTGAAATCTCTCCTTCCTGTTTGCATACTCTGTTCAAAAGATTAAAATTAATTCTTCAAAATGGGAAAAGGATAAAATGGAATCTCTAGTGCTGGTACACATCTCTTATGGATCTTTTTGCAATTTGTTATGCCAATTTTTCTGCACAGAGAAGACAAACCTACCATTTGTACAGAGTTTGAGATAAGCATTTGATAGGATTTTATTTTCTTCTTCATTCTTCAAGGTAGCTTGAAATCAATCACTTGGACAAGATGCAAATTATTAATCTTGGGTCAGGCTTGTCACAAATATTAACATTGTAGCATATATGTGTGTGGGAATAGCAAATCACACTGTTCCTGAGAGCAATTAATAATGATATAAGCCAAGGTTTTTCATGGATAGTTATGAGAAAGTACTGTCTGTATACAATTCAACAGAAACGTCAGGGGAAAAAAAATACAAAGAGCATAAGCCTTAAAGCAGCAAAACCAGAATAAATAACTCAGAGAATTTCTTGAAGCATTAGTAACTTGACAGCATCTACTCATTCACAACAAAGCCAGGGCAAGCTCAATGTTTTCTGCTGCTGCGCTAAATAAAAAGTGGATGCTCAATCTCAATTCTTAAGAACAAATGACAACCCTTTAGAAAGTGCTGTAGTTCTAAAATGTCCAAAAAAAAAATGAAAGTGATTTTCAAATCACATTGCATAGTGTTCTCTTTTAAGGGAACATGATCTCTGGTGCCTTTAATAAAAACTGTGTAACAATTCTTTAATTCCCAGTGATTTCACCCTGGAAATGACTACTCTACATTCATCTGCCATTACTTCTAACCACAAACATATTAAGTTATAAAAGGGGACAAATCAAGCTGACAAATCATTTTAAACATTTCTGGAAGGTGAGAAAAAAATAAATGGAGGGGAAAATGTTCAGCTTTGAAGTATCTACCTCATTTTTTTTATATCTTAATTTTAAAGGCTATACAACAATACTACTTTTCACGAAATGACGCTCACTTTTTGAGTGACCTTACAGTAAACAACCAAGCTATTACTATAAGAGTAATTGTTCAAAATGACAGAATCAGGCTCCAACACTTCTACAACTGCCTTTAATTTCTCTTTCAGACAAACCAGTACTTCAGATAACTAGCATTTTGATATTTGTCTTTTGTGTTGTTTACCTTCTTAATTAAAGAGTAGAATATACTGGCATTCTAGAGCCAAAGAAACACTTCTTAAATTAATCACCCTATTTAATAAAATGTCCCCTTGCAAACACTGTTTTTCTTGATAAGTGCATGCACAAATAGAAGAATGGAAAATAGTAATTGTTTGGTTGAGATGTAAGGGCACACAAAGTCGTTAGCACTAAATAACCTGGTCATCAGCCCAACTAATCTGCTGCGGTTTGTTTTCACAGCTTTGCTCTGAACATCAGTGCTGATGGTCTGACACTCCCTGCAGAGCCTGAAAGCGAATGGTAAGTCAAGATACCAGCCACACAATGCTTCACCTGCGATGCTAGAGATTTGGAGGAGGGAGAATAACAGTTTGTAAAAACACTCATAAACTTCATTAGATCCTTTTCTTTTCTTTTCTTTTCTTTTCTTTTCTTTTCTTTTCTTTTCTTTTCTTTTCTTTTCTTTTCTTTTCTT